GGGTAGCCCAAGAAATCACTGTCAATGCTTCCCTATAGCGTTGCAAGTGTAAATTGTATTTGCCGTTTTAGGATGATCTTTCGAGAAATACAAAAGTCTAAAACTTTGCTATATGTTGTTTAGTCCCAAACCAATCACGTTTTTGGGTTTTAGACGACTGAACAGTGAGAAACATACATGCTTCTGGCTAAAAAACTAATCAAACGTATTCTTTGTCTTCTGCAGGATAATAAACTTTTGAGTCAATTTTCTTTTGTTACAACTTGGGAATTTTTATCTTTTATATGTTTATCAAGTGACAAGCTTCTTTTAACGTTTATTTATTTCTGAGAGACACAGAGAGAGAGAGCATGAGCAGGGGAGGGGCAGAGAGAGAAGGAGACACAGAATCTGAAGCAGGCTCCAGGCTCTGGGCTGTGAGCACAGAGCCTATGTAGGGCTCAAACTTGTGAGCAACGAGATCATGACCTGAGCCAAAGTCAGACGCTTAACCAACTGAGCCACTCAGGTGCCCCAAGAGACAAGCTTCTTACTGACCCTTTCAAAGTATTCGCCACTCATTCCAGTCAGTGGCCTCACATCTTTTTAAGTCCATGACATCAAATCGCATGACCCCCTTCCCACCCCTGTTGCTATCTTTTAATTTATGCAACGTATTTATTGATTATACCTACTAAGAGCCATCACTGTGCTGGGAAATAGGTATTATGTTCAGTGGTGAACAAAAGAGATAAAATATGATTTCTGGCTTCAATTTAATAGAGAGGGAAGAAAAGTATCAAGAATAAATAATTGGTACCTAACTGTAAATTATGATAAATGCCATGATGGAAGAGTGTCTATTTACCAACTTTTGAGATATTCCCCCCAGGTAGTTCAAACACTCTTTCACCTGGCGTGGCTTTCCTCTCTACCATATCCTCTGCCATCACCCGGGACATTACATGCAAACTTCTGTCCTTCCCTTTAGGTCCCTGGCTCTCTCCGGATAGAGGGCTTTCACTTCCTCACTAGGAACTCACATGCGTAATTCTTACCTCTTCTGGTCTCTACCCCAAGTTGTTTTTGTTTTTGTTGTTGTTTTAATTAATCTCTACACCCAATGTGGGGCTTGAACTCATGACCCAAAGATCAAGAGTCACATGCTCTACCAAGCCAGCCAGGTGCTCCCAAATTGTTTTAACTAAGGGACTTCAAATCCTGAAACTTTTCTGATCATAATCTTTTTATTTTCACCTTGTCGGCTACTTTTCTTACAGTAAACCTGCAATTAGCCTTTCCCACGACCTTGAGTCCTTTAATACCTCTGTGCTATCTTTGGGCTAGCTAACCTCCTGCAATCACTTGCTTCTCTCTCTGACCTGCTTCCCAAGGTCCAACATGTCCACAGTACAATCTCTAGCAACCTGCCAGTCCTCACTCCCTATCTTCAGTGTCCGCCTCCTACTTTTAAAGAAAATGTTAGTCATTTTCTCCAGGGTGACTGCGAATTGCTGGAGATTCTCAATACGTATCACTTAACCCAATTTCATCATGACTCTTAACGATGCTTACAATTATTTCATAATAGACCTTTCTCCTTCTTCCTCCTATCTCAGCCTGCCCTTCTCATTTTCCAAGTACCTCACCTCTACTGTCAACTAAACAAGATGTCAACTAAAATGTCAATTCTCTCTCTTGATCTATTTTATTTTTAAATCTACACATCCATTTTGAGAGAGACAGGGCAGGCATAAGTGGGGTAGGGGCAGAGAGAAAGGGGGAGAGAGAGAGAGTCCCAAACAGGCTCTATGCTCAGTGCGGAGCCGGACGCGGGCTCGACCCCACAACCTCTTAGATCGTGACCTGAGCCAAAATCAAGAGTTGGACGCCCAACCAAATGAGCCACCCAGGTGCCCCTAAAATGTCAATTCAAAATTTATGTCATTTCCACACACACAAAACCTTTACATATTTCATTTTTGTGTTCTGCTTCCCTTTAAATTCTTTTTTTTAAAGTTCTTATTTATTTTGAGAGAGAGAGAGAACAGGGGAGGGGCAGAGAGAGGGGGGGAGAGAGAATCCCAAGCAGGCACCACACTGTCAGTGCAGAGCCCTACATAGGGCTTGAATTCACAAACTGCAAGATCATGACCTGAGCCAAGATCAAGGGTCAGATGCTCAACTGACTAAGCCACCCAGGCTCCACACAGTCCTCTGTATTTGGTCTTCTCTTCTGCCACTTGCTCCAGAAACTTGTGCTCTGTCTACAAATATGTTCACATCGTCTCTCAACTCCCTCCCTCCAAGTGATTGTGGCCTATTTCCACCTTCTGGACACCGTAGGCTTCGTTTTGCTGGGTTTTGCTTTCATCCCTGTCCCACTTCTTGTAACTCACTGCATTTGTGCCTGACCGTCACCCACCCCTTGAAAGAACTCTTCTAAGATCACAAATGCCCTTTTGCTAAAGTCACTTTTGACCCAATGGATACCCCCTCTCTTTGTCCTGAAATCCTCTGCATCCATGGTTACTATTGCATTATGCACGATCTTCTTCCTTGTCCTACCTCCCTGATAACCCCTCACTTTTTATTGTATCCTCTGCACATGTGAGAATTCCTTAGGATTCCTCCATCAACCTCTTTTATTCTTCCCCTGCACCAGGAGTCACAAATGGCAACCCCGAGCATATTTTGGCTTCCAGGTGCGTTCTGTCTGGCCTACAGAGTCTTGAGGTTGTTTGTTTTCACAGAAGTCAGCACTCGCAAATTAGGAGATTTTGCATAAAATCTGGACTTCCACTTTGTCTTGAGAAACCACGATTCGTATCAACTACAGAATAAGGATAAAAGAAAGAAGAGCGTCAAACAGATACAAATGACCATTTGATAGCAAAGTAATAATGAAAGACTGGCTTCCTCCGTCACGTAGGAAATATGAAGAGATATTCTCAGGGCAGATTTTGAGGATTCGTGCTGATAACCGCAGATATTACCAAGTTCAGTCTATCAGTCTTCTGTTCTCATCCTTGTCGGACTTACCCACATCTTCAGAGCCCTGGTTATTCATCCTATCTTCTATAATTCCCTTGTCTTATTTCAAAAAGGATTTGATTCTGAGTCCTTTAGTTTACTTTCCTCTGAATACTGAATTTACCTAATACAACCTGAACTCTGAAACAAGTAACAGAATAAAACGAGAGCTAACGTCAATCTTAGCTTTCAAATTCTGATGCGGCCACATTGCCTAGCTGGTCCACGAAGTAGAGGATATTGCTTTGCTTTACTCCAAAGGCTTTCCTTGTTCTTAATTTTAGAGGTGATAAAGTCTCCATGGGGAAGAATATAGGAAAAGAAAGTGTATAAAGGCGGAAGGGTAGAAAAATCTGCGTAAGAAAAGTCATTTTCCCTCACTTTTCTTTCTCCTCCCTTGTACACTTTACAAAAATATCTGTTTGGCAGTAACTAACCCTAAACTTCTACTTCCTGACCTTGACACTTCAATTTCCATCACCTCGTATTCCAAGAACAATGCGTATACGTCTGTCTCCCTGCTGCGGAAATGAAAAGTGAGAGTGGAAAGTATAAGATGACCTACAAGGAAAACAAAAACAAAAACAAAACAAAGACCCCCCGTTTTAATGAACGAGCCGAGAGAAATGTCTCCTCCATACTTACTTCACTACCTTGAAATGCTGCCCAACGTGCCATGATGTTTAAACTCCTAATAGCCCTGGGCTAACATTTGGAAAGGCTTATTTGTATTTTGAAAATGGAAGTCCACACACACCACGCGGAGGATGAAATTCTGTCCTGCGGCAGCATAAATCACGGTTTTGTAAGCCGCGTTTCACTTCTTGCTTTGGTGCCTTGTTAACCCACTAAGCCAGGTTGCCAGGCAACCATGCCAGCTTTGCTGAATATAGATATTAACAGGTTTAGGTTACAAGGGGGGAAAAATGGTGCAAATGAGCACAGATTTATCCTTCACCTGGAAATCTGGGGAAACAAGCAATCTTCACAAGCCGGTGTTTGAAACAAATGTATTTAATACCTTCTTGTTACACTCCAGCCTCTGCGATGGAGGCGACAGTTCGTTCCCGCCTCTGAGGTAACACCCCTGCCCACTGTGTTCCGAGAAACGTCCTTGCCCGCTGCCACCATGACTTGCAATTCTGGGTTTAGAACACCGATCGTGCTTCTAGCAACTGACGGAATTTCAATCTCGTTTTAATAAAGTCGCACGCTTATAATGTTCTCTAGGGGAAGGCTCTCTCCCAGGGAGCATTCTGCTCTTTACTGTTGGCGCTGGGTAGGACAGATGTAACTGTCCCCATCGGTCAGGGGAGAAGCCCATCTTCGTGACCATATGGTATTGGCGCCACAACTGGTCGAGGGCAGAGCTGGGATGTGCCCCCAGCGGACAGCCGGCCCCAACAGGCAGTCCCTATGACATGTCTACAGTATTTTCTTTTTTTTTTTTTTTTTTACCAGATTATTGAGAAAGTGGCAGAAAGTGAAGATAGTCTTGTGAGCTGTTACAGCTTCTCAAACTTCGGTACGGGCTCTCCTGCAAAGAGGCAAGTCTGTCATCAGAGACGTGTGGCCCTGAGATGTGTTTTCTTCTTTTTTCTTTTTTCTCCCTCGCTCCAACATTTCTCACATCCCTGCTTTTCCGCCTGTACTCCCGAACAGACTTTACAACAGAACAAAAATGAAAATAAGCTCTCTCTGATCCCTTTTCTCTGGAGGCAACACGAGGGGCCAACAAGCCTCTCGCTTGAATCCCTTCACTGTGACTTCCGCTGCGGGACGAATGACCCCAGAACGACCCCACAGAGCTTCCCAGTTTAAAGGACACCCGCTTGGGGCGCCTGGCTGGCTCGGTCGGTTGAGCATCCGACTCCGCTTCAGCTCAGGTCATGATCTCATGGTTTGTGGGTTCAAGCCCCCGCATCGGGCTCTGCGCGGACAGTGTAGAGCCTGCTTGGGATTCTGTCTCTCCCTCTCTCTCTGCCCCTCCCCCGCTTGCGCTCTCTCTCTCTCACTCTCTCAAAATAAATAAAAATAAACTTAAAAAGAAAAGAAAAGAAAGGACACCTGCTTATAGATACGGACCTGTAGGAGAGCTCTGCGGAGAAAGCAGGCTAGATATGCTTAGCCCAGATTGCACCAGGCTGCAATCTGCCTGCAAGTCTAGAAAAGTCCACCCCCACCTGTCACTCACATTTAAAAATATGTGCTCTCACTGCTATTGCTGCTGCCGCCGTTCACGTGGGCAAAGCACTAAGATGGCTCCAGGCCGACCAAGCGACCCAGGCTGCTAAGGCGCAGGTCCTGTGGATCGCTGGGACCGGGCCTCAGAGGCCGGTCAGCACTGACTCTCCGGGGAGTGGTTCCACTTTGATTTCCCTTGTGTCAAGCCGGGACGCCCCACGACGGTAATTTTGAGACAAGTGTGGCAGTGCTCTTTCTCCCTCCTGCTTCGATAGGTTGGTGACGTTTCCACTCCCAGCCCTGCCGAAGGCTAGGCTAATTTCAGTCAGAATGCCTCCCCTGGGTTATTTTCTGGGGCCCCAGGAAGTGTGAGGTATGTGCATCTTCTCCCACATTGCGGGGAGGTGCCCTGGATTTACCCGGAGAGGCTTGTTCAACCAGGTGGGAGCGACTCGAGGACGCTTCCGTCCGCCTTCCAGCGCTTTCCGTCCTGCTACCAAAGACAGCCGAGGCAGCCCATTTCGCTCCCCTGGCTTGACTTGGGAAGTTAATAAGATCATAAGCTGAAGACCTAAGAACTGGCAAACTGTGCCAAGACGAAAATCTCAGACTCCCCTGGGGAGAGAAATATTCGCTTGCCCTCCTGAAGAGGAGTCTCTTTTTGAAAGCAGTGGGGTCTCCCTCCACGTTATGATAGTTTCCCTCTCACCTCGATATTGTGGCCAACTGCAAATTAAAACAGTGCTCTTTCCTGGCTTATACTGTCTTATCTGCTTGGCTTGGCATTAGTCCTTAGGAGAAATCTGGTCTCTCCTTCTTCCCCAGGGAATTCTAAATACTCTGCGGGGTTTTCTCCGCCCCCCCCCCCCAGAAGTCATCGGTGATGATAAAAACAAACAGATTTCGACGGCATTTTAAACGTGTTAGTTATCGAAGACCTAATCAACCACCTGGACTTTTGACATTTATTGCGGTACGTTCTGTGAGGGTTTTTATTTATTTATTTTTATTTGAAAATTTTTTTTAATGTTTAGTCGTTCTTGAGAGAGAGAAACAGAGTGCGAGTGGGGGAGGGGCAGAGAGGGAGACACAGAACCCGAGGCAGGCTCCAGGCTCTGAGCTGTCAGCGCAGAGCCCGATGCGGGGCTCGAACCCACAAGCTGTGAGACCATGACCTGAGCAGAAGTCGGACGCTCAACCGACCGAGCCACCCAGGCGCCCCTGTTCTGTTAGGTTTAATGGCATAAATGGAGACTTACTTTACACAAGGGCTACACGTATACGTGGGGAGAGTAATTCTGATGATCTCTGTTCTTTCACGTGACCTCTGCGCATAAGACTTGGTTTTAAACTTGGTTCAGAAGTAGCAGCAATTTCATTTCAGGGGTGTGGGTGTCCGCCTGTTAGCTGCGCAGCAGGAACAGAAGCACGGATGCGGCACGGACGCTCATGTGTTCAGAGCGCTAGAGGTTCTATCTGTGGAAATGGTGGGGAATGGGGCCAGAACCTTCGACTGAAACTCGATGCAGACATGCCTCCGGGCCAGGCTGGGAATTCTAGATGGGCACCAGAGGTGATTTTAAGTAGCCTGGCTTGTCTCACTGTTCTTGTGACATCTCTGGTCTCCAGGACACACGCTCCTTGGATTCTTAGGATTAATCCTTACAAGCACCATGTGAGGTGGGTGTCACGATCCCCCATTTTGCAGGAAGAGAAAGGGATCCTTGAGAAGATCAGTTCACCTTCCCAGAGTCGCAAAGCTGATGCGTCCCTGCCGGATGCCACAGGTGTATGCCCCCTCCCCTCCTCCTTGGGTTTGAGAACACTCACAGCAGAGTCTTGCGGGGACAGCGGGGACCTTCCCAGTCTTCCCCGCCACTGCTCTCCTCTTTACTCATCCATTCATACGCCATGGGAAACTGAGAGTGACCACAGAATCTGCTGTCCAAACCACAACACTTTTGGAAACAAAAGTCACTAGTCATCATTGTTGTGAGGCAACAGGCACGATTTGGGACTTCTGCACACCCTCGTTTGACCAAATCCCTGAAACGGGGTTAATACGTACTTAGTAACTTAATTTGAAATTGTCCACAGTGGAGTCTCTCCGACCCTCTCCCCCCAAAGGCGGCATCCCTGAATATGTCACCATCTAGTTGCTGAGAGGGGATGCCCCCCCCCCCACAGTCCACTCAGCAGTCTTCCCAGGTCAGAAGTACCCGACCCATCCTTATTTTCCTTCTGCTCTCCCTTCCGTCTCCGTAGAAGGAGGGCTGCCTTGCCCGCCCTTCTCCCGAGGAGGTGGGGCTGCCCGGCTGAAAGGTCTCTCTGGTCTCTGCTGGTCCAGGCAGCTAATGTCCACCGGGCTGTCAAGTAAGGGCTGTGGGAGCAAAACCTCCAACGGGGCACAGACTCAGACTCCTCTGAGCATATTGTGATTTGATCACCCACTGCAAATGGTGTCATCTCTTGATTTCAGGGCACGACTCACAACTGGTCCTCCCCTGCCTGGGCTCTACGTGCCTCAGATGTGGTATCTAACATGAACTAGGACACAGATCAACACCTTCTCCCAAGAAATGTCACCCCTTCTTATTGGTCTGGATTTGGTGCTTTCAAGTTCACATTTATTTATTTATTTTTGAGAGAGAGAGAGAGAGAGAGAGAGAGGGAGAGAGAGAGGTCACATGAGCAGGGAAGGGGCAAAGGGAGAGGGAAAGAAAGAATCTCAAACAGACTGCAGCTTCAGCGTGACGCCCCATGCGGGGCTCAATCTCATGACCGTGAGATCATGACCGGAGCCAACATCAAGAGTCAGACGCTTAACTGACTGAGTCACCCAGGCACCCCTAAAGTTTAGATTTTAATGGTATCTTTCATGCACCTGCTTGAGTTCTGTTTTTAAACCCTCACCAAATAGAAAAAGGAAATAGTTCAGCATATCACTATGTGATTCGGGGGTAATTATTTGATTTTCCTTACCCGTATTTCATCGACCTCCAGGCCTTGATCTTCAGACCCAGGAACACCCAGGCAGAGAGCCAGCCCCACAGGGAAACCTATGTGAAGCTTTTGCATGTAGTGGAGTTGAATCTCTCCCTTACACTCAGACATTAGCTCAGCAAGAACCCTGGAAGAGAAGTTCCACCAGCTGGACGCTCACTGTAGCTCTAAGACCACAGTTCAAACACAAGACAAAGAAGCCAGGGATGAGGGGTGACAGAGGGCCCTGCCTGCAATTCTAGACCCCTCGGTCGTCTTCTCTGGGAAGGGAATCAGTTGCGTTCAAGAAGGCTTAACTTTCTCAACAGACAGAGAGGAATCCGTAAAGGGTTTGGTCTGCTGGAGAATGGATGGAAATCTGGGTTTAAGGGAACTTACTGAACAGTAGAAATATTTGGAATGACTTGGAGAGGAGAAAGTTTGGAATTTAGCACTCAGTACAGGGGCTGCTACAGAGTCTAGGAGATTCAAGGCAAGAGATCCCTGAATCAGGGCTATAGTCACGGGATTGGAAAGAAAAGGACGAAGGGAACAAAGTGGAATTTAACAAATTACTTGTGAGTGCTGGCACGATGATAAGTACTTCATGTACGTTATTTTAAAAACATTCCAACCAGGAAAGTTTTATTATCCCCATTTTACAGATGAACATACTAAACCTCAGGAGTTACTAATATCAAGGTCCAACAGCTGGTGCAAGAAACAACATTTAAAGTCAGAATTTCCCTCTAAAGTAGAATATAATCTGTCAACAATGCTCTGAGCTTGGGTAGATGAGGGAATGTCAGCAGGAACGGAAACAAGAAACAGGAAAGCAGAGGATAGGCCTTAGTTTGGAGATAGGGAATGATGATTTGTTGCCTTTTAGATGTGTAAGTGCCTTTTAGATGTGTAAGTGAGAACTGTGATTGTTTTTAAAAGGTGCATATTTTACTATATAAAAAACACAATTACTAACGGCAATTTTCATATCAGTTACATATTTCTTAATGCTTTGTGGCTGGCTATTTAAAGCTATATAAATGAGTATTTACTAAAGCCACCTGGCACAACCTCTCAGGTTTCCAAGTCTAGATATAGACTTTATCTATTTATTTTTATTTATTTACTTTTTAGAGACAGAGAGAGAGCTCGAGCTGGGGAGAGGGGCAGAGGGAGGGAGGGAGGGGGAGGGGGGGGAGAGAGAGAGAGAGAGAGAGAGAGAGAGAGAGAGAAAATCTTAGGCAGGCTCCCTGCTTAGCACAGAGCCTGACTCAGGGTTTGATCCCACGAGCCTGGGATCATGACCTGAGCCAAAATCAAGAATCCATCACGCAACAAAGTGAGCCACGCAGGTACCCTGAGTCTATTCAGAAAAAGAAAAGAAAAGAAAAGAAAAGAAAAGAAAAGAAAAGAAAAGAA